CAGTTTCGAAATCCTATCTTACATTCTCGTTACATCAATACGCTGCCGTATCTGTGTGAGAAATTGAAGGAATAAACATACGACATTTATTTGGAGCATCGTGCCAAAGCTATACCGTAGGCTACTTGATGTTGGTTTATGCCGAATTTCTTTAGCCTTTCTGTTAGTCAATTTGGAATTGCGTGACTTCGTGAATTACACTAGTATTTTAAAAGAACAAATTACGCAGTGGTCATACCTTAGTGGAACACATGCAGAAACTCGAAGGATTAAGCCAAAATCCAATATGCATCGAGAGGCCAGATAAGGCGGCTGGTCGCGTTATAATACAGGCCATAGTGCATTTCCGGCCTAGCTTCCGTCTTTCCAAATCCCAGGAGAAAATTGAACGTAATATATATTGTTTTACTTTACTTTTGTGATATTTAGACCATTTGTACCGATCTGATAAAAGCTTAACACGCTGCTGAATATAAGTAGCTAATACCACGTGAAAGGCTGCAGTTTTTGTTAGTGCTATCAACTTCAGCCACACAGTTGGCAACTGTAGTGGAAGTATGCGGCTTACAGCGAAAATCATTTAAACTTATTTCTAAACTATGCCATAGCGGAAACCACAGCTGAGCACTGCTGTATCTCAGTTGTCTTGTATTCCTCAAGTCGAGCCCAAAAATGTAAAGTAACATTTGCATGCAATTCACAGACGCTTTCTCCTAATTCAGTCAACCCCAAATTTTCAACGTTTTGCATCACTCAGCAACCCAACACTGACATTCCTCTAGTATTTGTGCTCCGGTAATGCACCTTTTTAGGCTATTTTATTCATCTTTAAAACTTCGTGCAAGTAGGTCCCAGTAAAAACAGTGAAGGCAAAAGACAAAATGCGGTTAGGTACGCCGCAAACCTCTGTAAATTCATTTGCTGTAACAAAACAATCAAAGCCTCACGCAAATGTGTTTCAAATATACAACCAGGCTTCTAATTCCTCTGAAAAGTTACAGTAGGAATTTTGTTTTCAGACTATTTTATCAAAAGCTAAATGCTTTTTAGATTTAATTTGGTAAATATATATTTTCACAAATTCATCACCAGAACCACTGATGAATTACTGAAAATGCATGTTTCTCACAGGACATTTTAAGCGACATTGAGGAATATTTAAAGAATATTTGGTTAGCCGTGCAGTAAAAGTTCACCACTCCTGCTTTAACGTTTCTAACTGGGATAAAATAGTAACGTATCAACGGCTTCCTAATGTCAGACGTCTTATCTTATCAACCCAAAGAGATGTATATTTGCTTCTTGATATGGGCACAAAATGTATGGTTTACTACATCAGATTAGAGACATTTTTTAAAAAATTTTCTGACCCTTTATCTAAAGCGTTGATATGACTGGAGTTTCTACAGGAAGAAAGTTTTACTTTTTAAAAATTATTGATCAAATATTTTGCCGATTGAAAGACTAGTCACATTTTGACTGTATAATACCTGACGTAATGGAAACAATAAAATAATTCTTGAATTAGAAAAAAACTGTGCCTGGAACTCGAATATGTTTTCGTTGCGTGATATCACTCTTCCCCACGCGCTTGTAATGCCACACAAACGTCACCCAACTGAGGGCAAGTTTCTCGAAAAACCTGAATGGAACAGCGCAATTGGGAGCTTTAAAAAACAGCGCAGACAAATTTTATTCTGTGTCAAAGTATGAATGACTGCAAACCATCAACAGGTAGACTTTCCTGGCGTTTCTGTGGAGCCCTACAGTCCCATGACACACAACATCTACGAGCGAAAATAAAATACTAACAGAGCAAAAAGGACAAATTATAAACATGGGCACATGCTGAGTAATGATTTGAAGTATTTGGCCAGCAAGGAGTTCTTTGGAGAACAAAATCTTTACCTACTGCCACCTGCGACGCTAGGATGGGCGGGGAACGTGGTCAGTTAATCAGGTTCGTCATTCTGTTTGACAATGACCAGGTAGTAGAGCCAGTAGCAACTATTGTACATTATATAACAAAGTGGAAACATAAAGCGACTGTAACTGTCAATCTCCGACTCGGGAGGAGCACGGCCGCTTTTGGTAGTCTTCTTCGCCGTTGCTGCGGCCGCCGATTTCTTCCTCTTCTCCTGTTCATTATTTATAGAC